CACCGCCTGCCTCACAAGCACAAAGACCCAAGTTCAATCCCTGGTACCAAAAAAAAAAAAAGAAAGAAAGAAATTATAAAATACTTTGAACTTAATACTAATGAAAATATATGTGAAATGCAACTAAAATCATTCACTAAAAATCTAGTCTTAAATGTATATATTAGACAAGAATAAAAATTAAAACCAATGATCTAAGTATTTATCTCAAGAAGTTAGTAAAAAAATACTAACCCCTCAAAAATAGAAGGAAGAACAATAGAAAGAGAAGAAAGCAATAAAATAGGAAACAAATACATAATAGAATCAAACCCCAAAAGTTATTACTTAAAAATAGTAAAGGTAAACTCAGAAAAACTTATCAAAGACAGAAAGACGCAATTTAGTAACATCAAGACTGAAAGGGATGACACCGCTACAGATCCTATGCACATTTGAAACACAATAAGAATATTATAACTCCATAGGTTGGGATTCAGTCGTTTTAATACCATGGCATATTTTTTCTCATTTTTAAATTTTCTTATTAACTTTCACATTCAGAATAATTTTCTTAACCGTTCTACAAATTAATGATTCCACGTTCCTCAATTTTATATCTCCTTAGGTCATTGTTGATTGTTAGTGTCTTACTCTTTTGTAACTAGAACAAAATACCTGACACCCACATTAAAGGAGGAAAGGTTTATTTTAGATCACAGTTTGTAGCAGTTTCGGTCCATAGTTGGCTGGCTCCAAGACAGGACAGAATGACAAAAAGGCCAGAGCAGAGGAGACACAGTCCATGGCAGGGTAGACAGGAAGCAGCAAGCCTTCCTTCTGCTTTCCCTTTTATTCCGCAGAGCCTACAAACCTATTGGTTGATGCCACCTCCACCCAGCGTGGGGCTTCCCTCTTCAGTAAATCTATTCATTCACATACAAAATTGTACTAATCCATTTAGGGGAAAAATCCTGTTATCACCTTAATCTCATATCACATGCCCATGATCCAGGATCCAGCCACCTTCCAAAAGCTACACACATGAATTCATGAAGCTTTGAAGGGACATCTAGATATAAACCACAACAGTTAGTTCATTTGATTTTTAAATTCTGTTGGTCTGCCATTATATTTTGATATAGTCTTATTTAATACAGGGAATATCTTTTTTCCTTTCACTGAGAAAAATAAGTTATTTGATTTAAATTTTTTTCTCTGGTGTAAGTCAATTTAGAACCTTCCACATGCTAATAGTTCCTATTCCTTTCTATTACAGAGTGTTTTTAATGCTTGTATGATTTTTTTGTAATGTAATAATGTTTGAGGTTTTATGATTTAAAACCCAACCAGAGCATCAAATACATGAAAAAAGATTTCACTGGGACAAAACTAAGGTCAAGCCTTCTAAAAACAAACATCCCCAATATCTTTTCCTTCCTTTTTGCTCCTTATATTTGCATGAAGTTTGGTGCTCCCATTTATCTCTACCAGATTTGAGACTGAAAGGCACCCTGGGAGACAGAATAGGCAATAGTTAAAAGAACTGACTTTGAAACCAGTAATACTTGGGTCACATACAGGCTCCACCATTTACCACGAGTATGACTTTGGACAAATTAGTTAACCTCCTCAAGTCTGTTTCCTCAAGCCTCAGTTTTCTATATATAATGGATATATATTCAAAGGAAATGAAATCAATATATCAGAGAGACATCTAAACTCTCATGTTTATTACAGTATGATTTGCAATAGCCAGGAAATGGAAATAACCTGAGTCTCCATCCACTAATGGATAAATAAAGAAAGTATGGAATATTATTAAACCACTAAATGGATGAAATCTGTCATTTGTATCAATATGGATAGTTGTTAAGTGAAATAAGCCAGGCACATAAAGACAAGTACCACATGATCTCACTCATATGTGGAATATTAAAAATTAATCTCATACAAGTAGAGAGTAGAATAGTGTTTGCCAGAATCTGGGAAGGGTGAGGTAAAGGGATAGAGAGAATGGCTAATGAGTATATGGAGTACAATTGAATAAGAGGAATAACTTCTAATGTTATGTAGCATAGTAGCCTAATTATGTGTAACAACAACTAATTGTATATTTCAAAATAGCTAGTAGAGAGGATTTAAATGTTTTCAACACAAAGAAAGAAGAACTGTTTGAGGTGATAGACTTACCAATTATCCTGATCTGATCATTACATATTGCCTATACGTATTGAAATGACACATTATACTCCATAATATGTACAACTAGTATAGCCAATTAAAATTTTTAGTTTTAATTTAAAATGAAAAAGCATTTGAGTCATAAAACCTGTCTTCTTAAGGAGACTTTGTGAAAGAAAAAATGCACACACCTCATCCACAGTTGTAGCTTTTCATTAGCATAGCTTTTTTTTTTGGATGTAAGGTGAGCCTCACATTCATCAAATTTCTTTCAGGCTCACTTCAAAGATCCTCAGTGATGAAACACAGATTATCCTGACACATTCCATGGGAAGAATCTATCCTATTTTTTAAGTACTTGTAAATCAAAACATTAAAGCTTTCAGATCAAGAGGTGAGAATACTGGGAACTAGCTGAAATTTCTGGTTTCAAGTGGAGTGAGTGTGTGTGTGTGTGTGTGTGTGCGCGCGCGTGTGTAGCTGATACTACCCCTGAGTGAATAGAGGAATGATATGCACAATTTACCAGCATCACCTCAAGTACAGGAAGAAGGTAGATGTTTCTCTTCTTTGAAGCAGCCTAAACTTTGGAGAATGCTGAGAAAGGGGAACATTTTTGGTGACAGGTGGCAATTCACTGGCCAGTAGCTTTGGTTTTCTTTGTCCGCTATCTCATTGAAATCATTAGTGTTGCTGTCTTAGACCACTTAATGCTGCTAGAACAGACTATCTGAAGTTGAATAATTTACAAAGAAAATAGGTTTATTTTGGCTCATAGTTCTGGAAACTAGAAAGTACAAGATCAAGCAGCCACTTTTGGTGACACCTGCTTACCTTGTGCTATGTTAACTCATGGTGGAGAGTGGAAGAGCAAGTAGGCACACACACAAGAGTCAAAACACGAGAGGTGGGCTTACTTTACAACAACTTGTTCTTGAGGTAGCTAATCCAGTCCTGTGAGAACCAGAACTAACATAATAAAGCCATTATTACTCTCTTTTGATTACCTATTTACCTGTTGAAGCCCTCCTCACACCACCATCACCACAAATGCAACCAAATTTCAACAAGAATTTTGAAGTGAATAGACTATATCCCTGAACGAATGAATGAATAAATGAATGAATGGAGACAGGACTAGAGAGTCAACAAGGGCCAGATAAGGAAAAGCTTCATATGGCATATACACCCACATAAACTTGGGTTTTCTTCTAAGAAACGTGACCAGCCACTAAAGAACTCAGAAACAGTAGTGATATGATCTGAATTATGTTCTAGATATATTAGTTTAACCATATCATGGAGAAAGGGTTAAAAACAATAAAATGAGTAAGATTTGTGTATCTTTCATAAATACTGTTGTGTTCCTACCATGTGGCAGGCACTATTCAAAGCATAAAAGCAGTGAACAAAATAGACCAGAGTTCCTGCCTTATGAAGTTTACATTTGAATAGATGTTTAATAAAATCTATTTGGAGTCACAGGTCAAAAGTTCACAATTGCAAATACTAAAATATACTATATTTAGAAAATAGTGTAGAAAGACATTAAGGAAAGTAGAATTGCCCCATGTTCTCTATTTAATTTTATTATCAAAATAAAATGAGAATCTAGCAAAAAATGACATTTTTCTGAATTAGATATTGTTAGTTTGCCTTTACTCCTCTTTCTTTTGCTGCAGCATTTTCATAGTTTCTACATTTTGTTTCTCTGACTGTTTGGCAACCTCTATTTTATGACTGGTCTTCTTCTTACTCAGCCTTCCCTTTGACTGTTCACTGATGTTTGAATTCCAAATGGATCAATTAAATCAAGTAAGCATAAACAACTAGATCCCTGAATTTGGTGAATGAACCTACTTTTCCACAAGTACTCAATGGACAGTTGTATGATTATGCTTGATTTGGTTATGGGATTTTTAAAAATTATGCCATGAGAACTCATATGCGTTTTGATAATCTCTCAGTAGCAAAATCTTTCCAAGGTGTCAGGGTTATGAGGGAGTTAGTAGACTGAAAGAGTGGATGAATTTCCTAAAGCTACTTCTAAAGACTCATAATCACCTGCCAAATCTGTAACTGATAAAAATCCACATACACACATTCCAGCCTCAATATTGAGAACACCTGTTTAAAGAACATCACCCTCGCCATCTCTAAATTTCATGTCTCATCTTATTCTACTGTGACTGAAACATTCCTTTTTCTTACTTTCCAGATGTGCCTTTGTTATAATTAATATTTCTATAGAGCAGTGATATATGTGAAAGTGTTATGAATTTATGGCATTCAATGTTTTCAAGGAAGATATCCAACAACATATCATCAGCACCAAACTTCAATTTTTCTTCAAAAGCATGTGGCACAGTACCAGATCCTGAAGTTACAAAGACAAGTAAAGAAAAAATTCTGATCATCGTGATCTCAAAGTGTAGTGAAAGAGATAGACAAGTAAACACGTTTGTTTTCTTTTTTTAAAAGTAGAATGAGTTCTTTAATAGAGGTGTTCATAGAGAATGATAAATATAGAAAAGAAGGCATGCCTTGATGCAAGAAATGAGGGAATTCCCAAAGAATGGTACCTGAGCAGAAATTTGAAAAATATGTGGAAATTCATCAGGGAGGCAATAACCTTATATCTGCAATAACCTTATATCTGCAAGTATTTCTGAACTTTCCCCAAACAAAGAGTACCAACTTGAAGATACATAATTACACTCCCATTGCCATGTCCAGAACTAGTATGTGACCTCTTCCCCAGGCTCTGGAAAGTTCCATCTCCCCTTGAACTTTATGTCTCATGCTATTTTCCTGATGAAGAATGACAGGATAAATGCCTCATCTGTAACTCTGCAAGAGGGCTGGATTTAACTAGCCCTCCTTGGCAAAGCACCCAGGGGTTTCATAATGAAGTCAAGGGCATTTTGCTTCCGGATTCAATGGTTTGTGAAAATCAGTGGTACATAAGCTTAATTTTATATCACAGTGAAACTTTGTAAAATATAAGCTATGGGTTCTCAAAAAATTAATTCACTGAGAAATTTCCAAGCCTTACCAAATTTCAGCATTTCTACTAACTCTTTCACCTCCTGCCCCTGCAGGTGAGGAGGGAACATAAAGCCTAGTCTTGAGGGAAATTAGAAAATATAGTGAGTCATTTCTACTTGTTCAATTCCTATTTGAAAGAAAATATCATTTCAATGATTTAATTTCTTAGCCCCAAAACTGGCATGTTCCTGGAACCTTAAGTGCTTCCACATCCACTATTATTGAATCCACCATTAAGGACACTTTTCTTTTTGGTAATTGAAATTGCATGTTGGAGAAAGTAGACCAAAACCTCCACATGACCTGGTTACAACTTCATTTGCAATTATGCCACTGAAAGTGGCTGACAATAGAAGGAATGGCATTCACACCCCAGTCAGAGTTATTTTAGAGATAGCACAGTGGTAAGCGAATCAAATGTTTATCTTACAGACAAAATATGGATCCATGCTTTTGTTTATAAAAAGAAACAGAAAAAAAATTTTTCCCAGAAAACTTTCTGCTGAAGAATCCCTAGTGGTAAAGTTCTATTTTAATGCCATTTGATGAGTGGCTTGAGAAAGTGCCTAATATTGCAGGAAGTTTGTAGAAGACAGCTAAAATAATTTACAGTTCATTTTGGGTGATTGTCCAACTTAGGTCTGTCTGTCTTGGTTCCTGACTTTTCTTCCTTCTCTTTCCAAATGCCTGCTCAGGGACCATTTTATAGCTCATTAGCACCTCTCCAAGAAAGCTGGCAGGAAACAGTGGAGATGGGATTTACATCATTCAATACATTTGTATTTTTTGGATTCATAGAAGATTTTTGAAGGAAAGAGCTCTGAAATAAGTGTAAGATGAGGTTTGAAGGACTCCAGGCACTATAACAGCATATCCAGTCCTTATCCTGCAGTAAGTATAAGTGCATTGATTTGACTGCCTTTATTGTATGCACTGTTATTGGATCCTCCAAGCAAATTCCACAATGCTGCAGGATATATCAGGGCTTCTAATACATAGTTGCCCCTCCAAACCCACAGATTCTACATCTGTAGGTTTCACCAACCAAGGATTGAAAATGGTTGAATGGCCTCCAATTGTATCTGTACTGAACATGTGTGGACTTTTTTCTTGCCATTATTCCATAAATAATACAGAATAACAACTATTTATACAGCATTTACATTGTAATAGTTGTAAGTACTCTAGAGATGCTTTAAAGTATACAGGAGGATATGTGCAGGATGTATGCAAATACTTCCCTATTTTATATAAGGATTTTATCTGAGAATTCTGCTACTGGGAGGATGGTCCTGGAATCAAACCCCATGGATGCCGAAGTCCAACTCTATACACTTTAACACTGGAGACCAGCTCATGATGAACAGTTGATCGCTGATCCAACACATATTTGGTCCTTCCTGATGTCATTTTTGTGGAGATCTTCCAACGTCAAGCTTCTAACTTGAGGTCATTCACAAAGCAAACTGACAAGTACGAGAACTGAAACTTGTGCTGTAAAATTTATTTTTTGCAGTATAATTGTGGGTGTCTGATTTGTTTTCTGGCTTGCATCTTTGTGAGCTTTTGATATCTGGATTTTTGGCTGTCTTCTCTCTCACAAAAGCATGCAGTGTGTGGCTTTGCTTCTCTCTAATTTCTATAATCAACATACCTTTTTGTGATGACAAAGTGCAGCCACAAACCCTGTTGTACAGAGCACTTGCTTTGCTGTTTAAGAGTCAGAGGTGAGGTGAACAGATACCGTGCTATGTCTCATATTCAGAACCCTGGGAAAGAACACACCGTGACTTCCTTTTGGAAACATCAACACCTACACATATCAGAACAGGATTTGCCTTCTATGTTAGATCCAGTACGAAATTGTCTCTTGGAAGGGAAAGGCTGCTCTTATGATGGATAGGACATTGGGTGGGAAGTGCTGTGACAGCAGTTGTAACACTTAAGGCCCTGGCACTTTGTAACCTCTTTTGTATCAGTGCAATTTGTGAGCAAATTCAATGAACGTAACTGGTACTCTTGTTTGTTTGTTTTTTGGTACTGGGGATCGAACTCAGGACATTGCCCCCACTGAGCTAAATTCCTGGCCCCATAACTGGTATTCTTTGAAGGCCTTCTTGTTGATAATGGGGCAAAGGGTATAGCTATAACTGAAGCAAAATTTCAACATGAATATTCTTCTGAGTAAAATGATTCAGAAGTAAACTTTCCAGTTTGACACTTATATAAACCTGTGGTGATATTTTTTTTTTATTCCAAATTCTCTATTTCTAGTAGAGCAAAGAAAAAAATAACATTCTTATTAGTATATTGTCTCATGTGTTGAAAGGGCCGGGGAAAAGTTTACATTGATACTATGAACTGGACTACCCCTCCCAAAGAAAAATTCATATGTTGCAGCCATAACCCCCAAAGTGAAAGTATTTAGAGACAAAACCATTAAGGAGTTGATCAAGGTTAAATAAAATCAAAGTCATGGGGCTGTGATCCAGTATGACTAATGTGCTTATAAGAAGGGAGAGAGATACCAGGACTATCTGTGCTCAGAAGAAAGATCTGTAAGGACAGTGACAAGGCAACTGTCTATAACCTAAAGAAAGACACCTCAGACAACACCAGTCCTGACAACACCTAGATCTTAGACTTCTAGTCTCCAGAGCTTTGAAAAATAAAGTTGCACTGTTACACCACTCCTCCTGTGGTTATTTTGTTATTTTGTCAAAAACATGTTCTTGGAGAAAGGTGAGAGAGTCAAGCCTTTGAGCTTTGGACCAAATTTATTTTTCTGGGTTCTGTGAATTTAATTTGGTTGCTTTGAATAAAACGAGAGCACAACTTTGAGTCTGCTAAAAGTTCAAATTTTAAAAATCACCTGATAGATTGGATAACTTTTGATTCACTTATCATTGTGCTAGGAACCTGGTGGAATGTTTGGCATGATGATTTTAATTAGAAATATCTAAGGAAAATTTTACAAACATCCTAATGGTGTACTATGTAGACCATTCCATGAGCTAGATCTTTCTTTTTCCTATCTATATCTCCAATATTTTCTTCAGTGTGTTATTATGTATTTTATAATGGAAAATTAAAACATAATTCATTTGAAAAACATAGATGTGTCTATATAATTGTATAGATGTTTACAGGCCATTTTTCATGTGTTATACATTTTAAGTATACTATAGATAGAACTAGAAACCATATGCTGTGATACCTTCTACAGTTTATCCAAGGATCATGGGGATGGATTATGAGAGAAATAAGTGATTGTTGAAAGAATGATGATGTGGAAAGACACAAAGAAAAGAGAGATGAGCATATATGGAAGAGGTGGAAGATATTGCACCACTAATGTGGTGAGGTCAGATATATGACAGAAAATAAGGCTGGAAATATCAGAGACAGATGACTGAAGACAAGTCCCACATTAAGGAGTTTGGAGTTTACTCAGCAGCTGTAGAACACCACACATGATAAGATGAGCAACTGTGAGTAGTCTTAGAGCAAAGAGAGACTAAAGCTAGAGAGGAGGGTTAGGAAGTTATGAAATAGCCCTGAGAGAGACACTATAAGATCTGAAGAAAATCACAGAGGGGATGGAGAGAAGATGAATAAAATTACAATGCATAAGTAAAATAGACAGGACTTGGAGACAGATTGGATGTAATAGAGAAGAAAAAGTAGGAAATAATGAAAGACTAAAGCTTCCATTTTGGAAGCTTGTCAGAATGTTTAACTCTGTTACATTCAACATGTGGTGAACTCAGGAGGAGAGACAGCAAATGCTTTTATTTTGAACATGTTGAATTTCACGTTTTGATGTTTATCTCTGTGGAAATTACCATATTATATAAAAACAGGGGGAGAAGCACATTAAGAGAGTTAGAGCCTAAAAACTGGTTCATCTTTCTGTGAATGAAAGTGTAAACTGACCATGGGAGAGAACAAATGATGAATCTTTAAAAGGGACTCTGGTTTCAGGGCTGAATGTAGAAGAGAACAAGCATCCATGAGGGGAAAAGAGCAGGAAGAACGCAGCCAGATGGAAAAGGGTCCAAGGGAATGCAATAACATTAAAGATGGTAAGGAAAGCCTGTTGTATACTTGTCATGGCATGAATATACTTGTTCCTTTGGCTGTACTAAATAGGCTTTCTGGTCACCAGGGAAAACCTTCTACTCCCAGAATGAACAATAGAATGGAGCCTTGCTGTCTCAGATAAGATGGGGTTGGTTATTCATCCTTAGTCCCTTCCTTCCTGCTTCTTGACCTGTAAACTGGCCTTCCTGTAGCTCTCTTATCTTCATCTTATAGGGAGCACACTGAAGCTAACAGAAAAACCACTTCTTTCTTCTCCAGGCACCTCCTTCTGTTTTCATTACCTTTTATCAACTGTGACACGGTTCAAAGTTGTGATTGCAGACAGCATTGAGCTTGGACATTCCCGATACACTTTTAGCAAGTCCAGATGTTATCCAAAGAGCCAATAGGCAAAGAGAAATAACTCTCAAGTGATAATACCAAAAAAAAAAAAGCCCATTAACAACTAGAACTAAGGCTTCCCTGGCCACTCAAGAACCATGCTGATAGATCTCATTCCATATTCATGACCACTAACCTCTAGTGGATAATCCACACATGCCTAGTTTATTCACTTTCTTATTCTCTTGCATTCTCTAGCTCACATCTTTTCTTCTACCCTCAATCTCTTACTCCCCCAGCTACCCTGTCATTTGTAGTGAGGAATGAAAGGCAATAGGAGCCGTCACCATTAGCTTTTCACTAGTGAATGTATCAAGTTATACCTGCTTTCAGTACCTACACTCTGCCTTTCTTCAGTTAGGGTGAATGTTTTACCAAAATCCAATCCCTTCAGCTGGATCCTCAACCCTCTCACCTCCTCAGCCACTTTGTGACTGTTACTGTGCCCTCTCTAGCAAGCACTCCCTGATGCTTCCCATGAACTTTTCAGAGCCTCCACTGCACAGGTGGGAAGAAGGGAATGCATTTATTCCCTAGTTCATTCTTCTACAATCTCTGAGATTCTGCTCCTCCTATTTCTTCCTCAGCTCTCTCTTGTTTCACACATACTACTTTATTTTATTAAAACCAGAGTTGTGAATTTTGTTTCTGCTTCAGATGCTTATTCTCTCACTGGGTTAGTGCACAAAATGCTGCTCTGAATCTCGGCCAGCCTTCCAGGAAATGCTACCAGAAGATAGGGAAGGACAAGTTGTATCAGTTCTCTGTTTGCAAACAATCTGGACCACATTCTCTAAAACCAGGTTTGCTCAACATGAGTAAAATTTGGGGAAAAATAAAAAAGATTATTAAAAGAGTGCAAATGCTACACCTGAAAGATAAGGTTAAAATAAAATATTTATAAAACCCAAACATCAGAAAATTTAAGACTACCTAATAATGGACTTTTTAAAGCAAGAGGATTATTATTTGGTAATAAGGATTCACTGGTTATCAGTTCCATTAAAAACAAAGGAAATAGATTTTTGTTTTTGTTTTTTAGAGAAAAGCTCTCACTGTGTAGTTCAAGCTGTCCTTGAACTCACTATGTAGTCCAAGCTGATCCTCCTGACTCAGACTCCAGAGTGCTGGGATTACAGCTGTGTGCCACCACACCTGGCTCATTAGGAAATGGATTTTAATGGAAGCATGGATGGTTTAGTTTATTCATTAGTTTTCAGGAACTGAAATACATAATATCAAAAATGTTGGGTTCACCTGCTGTAGAGCCGATCTTTTCATACAAAGCATATCTGCCTCATTTAGGAAGGAGCCAAGAATGGATCTCGAAGTTGAAGGAAGATAATTGACTACCTCTCCAAGACTCTCTCACCACTACTCTTCTGAAATGCTTTGTACTACCATTTCAGAGTTATTTTTCATTTTGTCAAACAAAATTATTATGTTTCCTCAAGCTATGATGAAGACTCTCAAAAGCCTGATAGTAGAAATGGTAGAAAACTACTTCTTCTTGGAAAGGCTCTATATTATGTTCTTGCTCACCTAAACAAGTAATGCTTAGATAAGTGGTATTCTA